AAACGTAGAGAAACTTTCATTATGTAAAAAAACATTAGGAGTGTGGACAAATTAAATGCACACTTGTATGTTAGATTCTCTAAATACTCAATCCACGTGTAATTTCTAGAACTAAAGGAGGTTTTTTTTTAGTAAATAAAAGGAATTGTTGTTTTATGTTGGGTGGATGGAAATAAACACAATGAATGTATTATTATGATAAGTAGCACAGATTGAAAAAGGAAAGAAGTTAGAAAAGAATTAATAAAATCATACATAAAAGATTCTTGGCAAGTCATGAAAAGGCTAGACTTCTTCCTCCACTTCCTGATCTTTGAGTATAGCCTTGAGCTTAAGTCTGGGCTCTATCCAAAAGCAACCTGGGACAGTTCAAGAGCCGGATTCTTACCCTTTTGGGTGGGCTAGCTAGCCTCCCTTACACAGACCTTCTTTTGGCAATGCTGTTGAAGAATGAAACCCTGGCCCTAACAAAACTGGGTTAGACCCTCCCTGGTGGCACAGGGGGTTAAGTATCAGCACTATGAAGCCATCCACAGCCACTGCAGTACGAGTTCTATCTCCAGCCAGGGACCTGACCCACATGGTACAACAGACCTCTCAGTCTGGCCTGCTACTCCCCTCAACAGTGTATTTCAGTAGATCTGCCTATTCTGCTCCCTACTCTGTTTCTGTTGAATCCTCTCACGCCCACACCTCTGGTCTGTACCCCAGTTCTGGGTTATGATTTAAATATGTATTTTAAAGATTTATTTATGCATACAAGAACTGGTGTGTAAGCCAGAGGTGTGGGAACTGAAAGGATTCAACAGAGACAGAGAGGGAGCAGAACAGGCAGATGAACTGAAAAACACTGCTGAGGGGAGCAGCAGGGAAGACGGGAGAGGTCTGCTGTGCCATATTGGTCAGCAACCTGGCCAAGGATCGAAATCATGCTTGTAGTGGCTGGTGATAGCTTGATAGTGCTGATATTTTTTCTTCCTGAAGTTTTGGCCTGAGAGCATAGAATTTATTATCAACCAGTTAGGGAAAATAACAGCTCACATGCAACCTCAATCTAATAATAAGCAAATATAAGACACAATGAAACTTAAGGACAGTATACAAAGTAACTGGCATACTCTTCAGAAAAGACTGAATAACTGTCTCAGATTAAAGAGACTGAGGAGCGATGACAAGTTGGGGCTCTCCCTGGTGGCACAATGAGTTAAAGCAACGCATTGAGGCTCTCCGGAGCCACTGCAGCATGAGTTCCATCCCCGGCCAAGGAGGTGACCCTCATGGTGCAGCAGACCTCTTCTGACCCACCCACTGCTCCCCTCAACAGTCTATTTCAGTCAATCTGTCTGTTCTGTTCCCCACTCTGTCTCTGGTGAAACCTCTCACCACACCTCTGGCCTATGCCCCAGTTTTATAAGCATAAATAAATAAATCTTTAAAAAAGAACAAACAGGGCCCTCCCTGGTGGCACAGCAGGTTAAAGCACAGCAGTAAGAAGCTCAAGCTACTTCTGCATTAATTCAATCCCTGCCTGCCCCAGAGGTGACCCACATGGCATGGCACACCTCTCCTGACCTGCCAGTGCTCCCCGCAGCAGTATACTTCATCAGTTGGCCTCTTCTGCTCCCCACTCTGGCTCTGGCGAGTCCTCTCACCGCCCCTGCACCTCTAGCCTGTACCCCAGTTCTGTATGCATGAATAAATAAATCTTTTCTAAAGATAAGTCCAAGAGCTTGATCATTCAGTTATAGATTTGGGGCTCTAATTCAAGTTTCCCAATTTCCCATCGACACATACTTCCATCATTCATTTCCATTATGCAAAGTGGTCACTTGTCATAGGGATAATGGCTTCCATTTCATCCAACATTTGTAGACAACTATTAATGATAAACCTTGGATGGGGCCAGGGGTCAGAAGGCGCTCACAGTCCAGTGGAGGCAGCTGTACATATACAGGTAACTTTAATAATAAAAGTAAGGGTCCTCCCTGCTGGTGCAAGGCCTTAGAGCGCAGCACTGTGAAGCTATCAACTATTAGCAGCCACCCCAGCAAGAGTTCAATGCCTGGCAGGGGAGGTGAGTCTCAACTGCTGCCCGCCTCAGCAGAATGTTCCACTTGATCTGCCTGTTCTGCTCCCCACTCTGTCTCTGCTTAATCCTCTGTATGCATAAATAAATACATCTTTAAAATAATAATAATAATAATAAAAGGCTGTTCTTAGTGCTACATGTGGGTGTAAAGAACACGTCATTTTATGAGATACCACCTCACCCCAGTGAGAATGGCACATCTTCAAAAAACTAGCAACAACAAATGTTGGTGAGGATGTGGAGAAAAAGGAACTCTCCTGCATTGCTGGTGGGAATGCAAACTAGTACAACCACTACGGAAAACTGTTTGGAGGTTCCTCAAACTGCTAAACATGGAGCTTCCCTACGACCCAGCCATCCCACTCCTAGGTATCTACCCAAAAGACACAAAAACACTGATTGAAAAAGATACCTGTACCCCCATGTTTATTGCTGCTTTATTTACAATTGGAAAAACATGGAAGCAGCCCAAATGCCCAAAAGTAGATGACTGGATAAAAAAGATGTGGTACATATATACAATGGAATATTACTCAGCAACCAAAAAAGAGAAACACATGTCTTTTACAGCAACTTGGATGGAGCTGGAAAAGATCATGCTTAGTGAGATAAGCCAGAAAGAGAAAGAAAAATACCGGATGGTTTCACTCATAGCAGGAGTATAATGGAGCAGGCGAGAAAATAACAAAAATAATGAACAACCATATACCAGAGACATTTTGCGGGGGTGGAGTGGGGAATGGGATCAAAAACGGGGGGTGGGGGGGGAGGGAAATGCACGGGATTATAGTGATGGCACACGGGTGACTTGGTGATGGGAAACCCGCGGGGATTACAATTGAGATGGAAAAAAAAATGTACAAAATGATGTAAAAATAAACTTTTGTAATTTAAAAAAAAAAAAAGGAACACGTCATTTTAAATGCAGAGGAGGGGAAAACAAACCTTCCTATCTGGTGAAAATCAGTGATGGAGGAAGTTCGGAAAGCCCCCTACTCCTTCCCCTTCTCTGACGGTCTCCCCCATGCCCCCTACCTTCGTGTCCCCCCCGCAATAAACACCCCTTAAAAGGGGTTCGATAAATCGGCAATATAACCCCAGCCTGACTTCCCTTGGACATCAACGTCCCGATTCCTGACAGCCTCGCGTTTCAAGCCACTGCCTGTAGGCACCCAAGCTTGTCACGAATGGTGACAAGAAAAGGAGCTCGGGAGAACAGAAAGCATCTAATAGTTCAACTGCACAAGCTATGAGGCCAGCGGGGTCCTCGTCTGGGAAAGTGAACTAAGCATAAGGCTGCTTCCTCACGGCTCGTGAGGGGCTGTAAGGGCAGTCCTCCCAATCTTTAGCACCACGTCGGGCACAGAGGGAGCGCTCGGGAAATACTCGCGCGCACGTAGAGACCGTCGCCGCTTGCGCGTCCCAGTGCGGGAGCCGCCCCCTCACCGCCCTGTCAGCGCCCAGGACGCCCGGCACGGCTTCCGCGCCGCCACGTCGTCGCCTCCTTCCCTGCCCACACCGGCGCTCACCAGCCCCTGCCCCACGCTAGGTACTGGGTTCACCGGGCCGCGCCCCGACCCGGCCTGCCTCTTCCGATTGGCTTCATCAGAAGCCTGTCTCCCGGGGCCGCTGCGGATTGGTCGAGTGGGTGGAGAGGGGCGGGCCCCGAGGAGCGTAGCAAGGGCGGGGCCCCGGATGTGTGTGGTGGCGGCGGCCGAAGAGCTAGAGAGCGGAGCTGAGAGGCCTATGGATGAGGAGGACGCGGCGGCCCCGGTAGGCGGGGATCGGGGGCGGGGTCCCGGAGGCCTCGGTCTCCCGGGAGCCGGAGGCGGGGGTCTTGGGCGGGGGCTCCGGGCTCAGGGGCGGGGCTTTTCGCGCGGGTCAGCGCACTTCCTCCCCCGGGACCTCGGCTGGGTGCGGGGCCAGGCGCGGCTGGGCGGAGATCCCGCGCGGGAGCCGCGCCCCCGCCCCTGGGTCTCGCGTGGTGACCAGGCCTTGCGCGGGGCGGAGGCGGGGTCCGGGCGGCCGCCACTCACCGGTGCCTAGGCTGTGGGTTTGAGCAAGCAGTGCCCGGGGCTTGGCCCAGGGGTCCAGCCTGGCCGAGTGCAGGTGACCAGTGCAGACGGGGGTATACTGGGCGCACTGGGTTGAATTCAGCCTCACCAAGGCTTGCTGAGCACCCACTGGGTGCAAGGCCTCGGTGGAACCCCGGGCCTTAGGGTTTTAGAGGTGGGAAAAGAACAGAACCTCAGCTTGGCTTACCTTGGCTCTAGGGAGAAATTCATTCATTCGTTCGCTCATTCACTCGTTCACTCACTCACTCACTCACTCACTCACTCACTCACTCACTCACTCATTCATGTGAGCTCTGCGGGTGTTTAAAGGCCTGGCGCATCGCACACCATGCAATTCCACCTCCTCAGTAAAATCTTTCTCTACTTCTGCCTGTGCTTCTTATGTTCAGTTCTCCAACCAGCAGCCCATGGTCTTTAAGGTCTGAGAAACTGGAGACCATGTCATCTCCTTGCTAAAACTCTCCATAGGTTTCTCATGATCTGGAATAAAATCCAGACTCCATAAGGTGCTGCTGGGCCCCGAATCTGACCCCCTCCTCCCTCCCAGCTTTCGTGCCTTGCCCCTTGCATGCCCTGACCCCAGCCTCCCCGGCCTTTCTGTTTCTCTCCCTTCCACCTCAGCATCCTGGCATGTTCTTTCTTGGGCTTGTCACATGCCTGGTATCTTTTCTTCTCAGCTCAGATGTCACCTCAGAAAGGCCTGCCCTGGCTACTCTCACCACAGGATTTGTTAGCTAGTCTTCACCCCACCATTCATTATCACACCACTCTGCTCTCTACTCCACTAACATTGTCATGTCCGTGTGTCTGTCACGCCTTCCCCGGCTAGAAGGGACAGGAGTCCGTCCATCTTGTTCACAGCTGCTTTGTCAGCACCTAAAGCAGTGCATAGTGCTGAAATGATGGATGAAATGATGAGAATGGAGATTTCTTTTTCTTTTTTCAAAAATTTATTTATTTCTGCATACAAAAACTGGGGCACAGGCCGAAGGTGTAGGGGGGTGAGAGGATTCACCAAAGACAGAGTGGGGAGCAGAACAGGCAGATTGTCTGAGATACACTGCTAAGGGGAGCAGTGGGCAGGACAGGAGAGGTCAGCTGCACCCTGTGGGTCACTCTGGCTGGGGATCAAACTCGTGAAGCGCTGTTGGTAGGTTGGTGGCACTGTCTTTAATGTTGCGCCACCAGGGTGGCCCGAGAATGGGGATGGCAACTGATTTCCAATCCAGTGCCCTCTCCACATTCTGGGTCCAACAGACAGAGGACTCTGCTCAGAACTCTGCTTCTTCCTCCCCATGGCAGGTTTGTTCTCATGAACAAGATGGATGACCTCAACCTGCACTACCGGTTTCTAAATTGGCGCCGGCGGATCCGGGAGATTCGGGAGGTCCGGGCTTTTCGATACCAGGAGAGGTTCAAACACATTCTTGTAGATGGAGACACTCTGAGGTGAGTTTAGAGGCACGCGCCAAGGCTTTCCTTTGTCTGTGCCCCATCTTCAGCAGAGGCAAAGGCCTGTTACCTGGGAGCAGGCCCTGAGGCCTTTTTGAGCAGAGCGGTGGCTTTTGCTTCATCTTGAGCTCCCGCATGCTTGCCTCTGGGTCGCCTGTCCTCGCCTGGCATTGAAGCAATCATGTCAGAGCCCGAAGGCTGCTGGGCATCAGGGGTCACCAGGTGCTTTGTAGAGAGGACTCCAGTGGGCCTGTGGGGGATCTGGCCCCACAGCCTGCATCTCAGGTGTTGGGCCGGTGTACAGTGGCCATTTTGGGCCGTGCGCCTCCTGTTTTGGGAAGGACGGGCCTGTGTGTCACCTGCCCATCTCCCAACCCTTTGGTTTGTGTATTTGTTAGTCTTCTCCCTCTTTGTTGGCTTGATCCCCTTCCTTGACTCCTTCTGAGCTTCGTTCTCTCACAGAATTGTCCCTCATGGAGTGCTGGGGAGGGCAGGCAGCAGTGTGTTTAGCTAGCATGGCAGAAAGCTGAGGAAGGATTGAGTAACTGTCTTTCAATCTGCGAAGGGCTGTGGTACAGAGGATAGAGACCAGCCGTTCTCCAGCTCCACTGAGGACAGACCAGAGGCTAAGGGCCGAAGCTGCAGCATGAGGGATTGAGGTTAGACAGGGTTGTGAGACCCTAGCAGGCAACTGAGGGAGGCTCTCCATGGAGATGAATAAGCCAGGGTTGTGTTGCTCTGGTATGGGCTGGACCCTGGCTGCAAGCAGTGGGAGGGGTGGGGCGACCTGGAGTATCTATTAGGGTGTCTGGGCAGATCCTGAAGTATGGCCTGGTGGACGCTCCTCATGCTGGCCCTGGCAGGGTGGGGGTGGGGAGGTGAGGCCCTCCCCACAACTCATGAACAAGTCTGCTAATGGAACTCCCCCCTCATTCCTCCTTCAGTTACCATGGAAACTCTGGTGAAGTTGGCTGCTATGTGGCTTCTCGACCCCTGACCAAGGACAGCAATTATTTTGAGGTGATCGAAGCAGTGGGTGGGCAGAACAGGGATGAGATGATTAAGCTCAAAGGAGCTTTCGGCCTAGATTCATGATCTGACCTTTTAAATTTTCCATCAGGGCTGTCCTTTTGTGTGGGGCGGGGGCAGGCGTCTGAGAGGGGCCCTGGAGTGCTGTCGCTTGCCCCTTCTGCCCTCATGCCCTCCCCTAGGTAGACTTGCACCCAAGCCCTCTCCCAGCCCTCATCCACGCCCACCGTCTACTCCATCTTCCTTCTTTTCCTAAGCGACTGTAGTCAAGTGGCCCCACTCCCCCAGTCTCCCTTTGGCGCCCTGTCTTTGTCTCAGATTCTCATGTCCGTTGGCTCTTGGGGCTCAGTGCCCTCTGATGGCTGGCCCCCAGCCCGCTCACTGCACCCACTCCCCTCCAGGTGTCCATCGTGGACAGTGGGGTCCGCGGCACCATTGCTGTGGGGCTGGTTCCTCAGTACTACAGCTTGGACCACCAGCCGGGCTGGCTGCCTGACTCTGTGGCCTACCACGCTGACGACGGCAAGTGAGTAGCCCCGTGAAGCCCGCCCCTCCTGCCAACTCGGGAGTCTTAGCTGAGAAAGACCAGCTCAGGTGACTTGTCATTCCTTCACCTGTCATGGACAGCTCTGCGTTTCCCTGACCAGGACAGGCAGGTGGCCTGATGGCTGCCCTTGCATGTTTGCAGACTTGGAAGGCAGGGGGGCCTCATGCTAGGACACTGATGCCTTCACAGAGTGACCGGGGCAGAGGGACACGAAGCCTCTGCTGTCAGTGCTGGGGAGAGGTTGGGAGGCCAGACTTGAGTCCTGTGTCTCTGTCCACAGGCTGTACAATGGCCGGGCCAAAGGCCGCCAGTTTGGGTCAAAATGCAACTCCGGGGACCGAATTGGCTGTGGCATTGAGCCTGTGTCCTTTGATGTGCAGACTGCCCAGATATTCTTCACCAAAAATGGGAAGCGGGTGAGTGGAAGCCCCAGGCGGGCAGGCTGACCTGGCTGCGCCGGGCTGGCTGGGGCCTACAGGCTCGGTCCCATTGCCTCAGTGCAGCCTCATGCTCTCCTGGAGTAGGAGGCTCTGCTGCTGTGGAAGGCACTTGCCCAGGTCAGGGGCTGCTGGGACATCAGGACATTGCCCTGAGGGAGCTGGGAAGGGCAGGAGTCATGGGGGACAGAATTGGGTGATTTGGGAAGGATATGAGTAAAAAAAATGGGGGGGGATTATAGTCTGGCTGTATGCACTGGAGGTCTTTGTGGTGTTGACTTGAGTGCGTTTGAGGATAGGTCCTGTCTGTGTTTATTTTGCTTATTTCTCTGCTTCTCTTCCCTCTTCAGAAAGAGACTAGTAGTGGGGAGAGGTGGGGTAAATGAGCGAAGCCCGGCTCTGCTCCCTCTCTTCTCCCAGCTCCACCTCTGCCATGGGAAGCCCTTCTAAGGCCCGCGCTGGGCGGGCCTCCTCCCTTCCACCGCACTCACCTGCCTCCCTGCTCTGCTGCACCCGAGCACGCTCCCTTGGCCCGAGAGTTTGGAAGCAAGTCGAGAGACTGGTCCGCTTTGCGCTACCAGGAGGCCGGAGCAGCTTCTTAAACTTTTCTGTACCTCTGGGTTGTTGGTTTTTTAAATCTGCCTGTGTGTATAGTTATTTGTTGCATTATGTCAAAAGGACCCTTGTGAAAATCAGGTGAGCTGTGGAGAAGGGAGCCAGGTAGCAGCGCCCGCCCTCCCTCCCTCCGCTGCAGGTGGGCTCTACCATCATGCCCATGTCCCCAGATGGGCTGTTCCCAGCAGTGGGCATGCACTCCCTGGGTGAGGAGGTGCGACTGCACCTCAACGCTGAGCTGGGCCGTGAGGACGACAGCGTCATGATGGTGGACAGTTATGAAGACGAATGGGGCCGGCTGCATGACGTCAGAGTCTGTGGAACTGTGAGTAGGGGCTGGGGGAGGGCCGGGCAGGATCACAGCCCACAGCAGTGTGAGTTACTTATGAGAGGGAGAGGGGACAGTGTCTTCTGTCCGGGTCTGAGCAACGAGAGTAGGAACAGGGTGGCCTGAGGTGTTGACATGTTTGGTGAGTCCGGATCCCTGTTCTTCTGTGAGCTGAATCCCTTTCTTCCCTTCTCTCATGTGAGAGCTCATCAGAACACGTGGTTCTCTTCTACCTTCTTCGATTCCTTGGGCACCTGCTGCCCTGCACACCTGCCTTTGAGGGCTGATTTAGAGGCAACTCAGCTGGCCCACACCTGCCATTCCCAGTGCTATGGGACAGGTGTGGCCCCAGACCCCACACATAGGGGTGCAGGTTCTTTGAGTCTTTTATCAAGTGTCAGCCTTCCATAGAGGGTGAGAATAGAAGGGGGTGAATATTCTGTAAGAATCCTTGACCGTCCAGGACTTTTTAAAAATAAATCGTCATGTCATGCCTGCATTAGCCTTTCCCAAGGCTTTAAACTTCTCTGGGGAGCATGGACCTTGAGAAAGGAAATTCTTCCTATCTATCCTTTGAATGGCTGCTGAGTTGGGGGTTGGCTCTGACCTCTGGGCGCTGCTCAGGCCTCCTACTTCGAGTTGTCCCTCTGCTGCCCTCCTGCCCCTGCTCAGCCCTCTTCTCCACCCTCCGGCCTTCTCACCCCAACCCGGGCTGTTTTCAACTCAGCCTTTGATAGCGAAACAGAAGCAGTGGGGGGTGGGAGTGGGTAGGAGCAAGACTCTCCCCTCTGGAGTTCAAGGTGAGTCAGGGCAGTGGCAGACCATGTGCCCTCCCGCTGCTCGGGCCCTCTGCTCCCCTTGTGGCCCTGGGGTCACACACTGCGGTGGCTGTGGGCTGGGAGGCCTTAGCTGCCCACTGTGTGACCCTGCTTCCCCTTCCACCTCCATCTTGACAACACCTACGAAATTGAACTTGGGACCGAGCCAGGGCGATGTTCCAGCTCTTACTCCTGACCTCTCCTCAAGAGTTTTTTCCTGGCATCCTCTCCCTGCCTGGACCTGTCCCCACTCTGCTCCCGGCTCCACCCAGGCAGTCTTTTCTAATTGATGCAGAATCCTGTAGACGTTTATAAATAGCTTTCCTTCCTCTCTGCCCTCCCCGAGTCCCCTCAGGCCACTCATTTAAGAATTTCTTCTTCCTTAGCCTAAACTGTTGAGTTGGGCTCATCTTCAGACCCTCCCCCAGCTTGGGACAGCTGTCAGGATGGGCAGACCCTGTCCCCTCGCAGCTCTGGGAGAAGCTTGGGAGGAGCCTCTTGAGGGACATAGGTCTCACTTCCAGTCTTGCCGGCGAGCCCCCGCCCTGTCCTCGCCACCGTCTCCTCGCCCACCGACCCGGCTGGTGCCTTGGGCTCCTTCCTGTCCTTTCCTCCCCCCAACCATGGCCATGTTTCTGACTGGTGGTCAGCATCGTACTTGCAGGGGGAGCCTGGGAGCGGTCATCCGGCCAGGCGTGTGCCCCTGTTCCTAAGGATGCCCAGCACGGCCGCTTTTCCTTTGTGCCCTTGCTCGTTTTCACACCCGCCTCCAGGGGTCTTTCCTTGGCCCCCCAGCCCCTCTGTCCGCTCTTGCAGCCTGTTTCTCAGTCAAGTGCCTTTTTGGAACCATGACGTTTTGAGATAGGCTTTGATGTCGGGTCCAGGCTTTCTCACCGGAGGGAGATGGCTCCAGAGGTGCCAGAGGGCACGGCCCTGGCTGGCGGGTGCTAGCGGCCCCCTCCCCCCAGCCAGTGTGAGGGCGCAAGCTCCAAATAGCCTCTTGCTTGGCTGTTGATGAAAAAATAGTCCCAGAGGAAAATGAAAAGATCTGCTCGAATGTCAAACAGTGAAAAATGGTAGCAAAACAGTGCAGCTATTCACTCTGTTCCGTGCCCACTGCCTTTTCCGCTAACACGGTGCCTTCTGGGGCCTTCTACTCAAGGCTGCTTTGCTTGTCCAGTCGTTTCTCCTGCTTCTCCTAAGAGGAAAGAGGAGCCCCTGGACTTAAACTCCCTCTGCTCCTGGGGTTCCCCGTCTGGCTTCTGTAGCCAAGACCCTGCTAGGTGAGCTCCTTGATGACCTTGGAATTCTTTTTCTTCTAGCTCTTTCTCTCAGTTTGAGCCTCTCACTGCCCCTTGGTTCTTCCTGCAGAGGAAAGCAAATCAATTTCTGCCTCTTTTATTTTCCCTCCCATATTTCACTATGAAAAGCTTCAAACATATAGAAGAGTTTCAAAAAATAGTTCCTTGTACACCCACAGCCCCACCATGTCGCTTAGCGCGTGCTAATATTTGGTTACACGTCTGGATGTAGGTAGCCGGGCTCATGACTGGAATGCTCCCCGCTTCCTGCGGCCTCAGTTCCTCCTAAACAGTCCTCCTTCGCCTGAGCTCTGAGGACCTGAAGAGTTGCTACTGCATTTGCTCAGAGTAGGGGTGTTGCCCACTCCTGACTCCTGCCCCCAGGCCTTGCAAAGTGAGGGAGCATGGAGGTGGGGGACAGTAGGTGAAGCTGGGGGATTAGGCTCATTCTTTGTTTCCTGTTGAGAGTTCCTCTGACAACTCCTTAGAGACTGCAACAGCTTTGGCACACAAAGCGGGGTGAATGAGGCCTCACCCTCCCAGGGGTCCTCCCCAGGCCCAACCCAAGTAGAGTCCATGTTGAGGCCTGAGCTGGCTGGTAGGGAGCATGTTCTTGGTTCTTGCTTCAGCTGCTCGGCCCTCAGGGCACGGAGCCCTCCTTGGCTGCTGTCAAGAGGGATTAGGGTCTCTTCTGGGAAGAGGAGGAGGGTTGATGCCAGCAGAGGAGGGGAGACTGAGAAGGCCTGCCGGTGGGGGCAGGAATGCAGTACACAGTGGGGTTCAGTTCCTAGCTACAGTCTGACCTCTTAAGGTGTTGGTGGTGTGTACGTGTACAGAGGAGGCGTGGGTAGGAAGGAGCGTGCAAGCCCCAAGGAAAGGGTCTCCTGGCCCCAGCAAAGGTGCAGAACAGTCCTGTTTGGGGGTTGTGAGAGATCTAGGAGGATGGCTGGGCCTCGAGTAGCCAGGAGTGGCCTCTGGCTGGGGAAACAGCAACCGGTTTTGGGAGGTGCTGTTCTAGTTGGTGGTGAGGGAGGGATGAACATTCCTTTCCTTCTTTGGGATTGGCAGATCTAATCTATGGCAGCTTTGGAGTGGCTGTTAAAATTTGGGGAGCACTAATATGCTGGCATGTTCCAGTGTGACCCTCATGCCCGGCATTAGGAAAGGCAGAAATGCCTGTGCTCCTTCTGGGTGCCGGGCTCCATGCTAAACACTTACCTCCCTTCACTGAGATGCAGGTCATAGTAACCCTATTTTACTGAGGGATAAAGAAGTATATGGGGCCTCCTGGTGGTGCTAGGGGTTAAGTCTCAGCACTCTGAAGCTGTCTGCAGCCACTGCAGTACCATATAGCTCCCAACCAAGGATGTGACAGACCTCTCCTGTCTCCCCACTGCTCCCCTCAGCAGTGTATTTCAATAGATCTGTCTGTTCTGCTTCCCACTCTGTCTCTGGTGAATCCTCTGGCTTGTACCCCAGCTCTTATGTGCATAAATAAATAAATCTTTTTTTCTTTTAAGATTTATTTATTTGTGCATATAGAACTGGAGTACAGGCCAGAGGTGCCAGGTGATAAGAGGATTCACCAGAGACAGAGTGGGGAGCAGAACAGGCAGATCGACGAAGTACACTGTTGAGGGGAGCAGCGGGCGGGTCAGGAGAGGTCTGCTGCACCATGTGGATCTCCTCGGGGCAGGCGGGGATCGAACTCATGTGGAAGTGGCTTAAGTTTTTAGTGCTATGCTTTAACCCGCTGCGCCACCAGGGAGGGCCCAAATAAATAAATCTTTAAAAAAAAAATAAACTGGGACTCTCCCTGGTGGCGCAATGGTTAAAGCACAGCACTATGACTGTCTGTAGCCACTGCAGCACATGAGTTCCATCCCCGGCCAGGGAGGTGACCCCAAGGGTGCAGCAGACCTCTCCTGACCTGCGTGCTGCTCCCTCACAGTGTATTTCAGCCTGTCTGTTCTGCGCCCCACTTGGTTTCTGGTGAATCCTCTCACCCTCCCATACCCCAGTTCTTGTATGCATAAATAAACAAATCTTTAGGGGGATAAAAAAAGAAACTGTCCCCCTCCTCTGGGTTCCTCCAAGGCGGGGAGGCATGGACTCAGATTTAAGTGTCAGCCTATCGGGGGTCCACCCTCGCCCTACCCAGCTTCTGGGAATGTTCCCAGGAAGCTCCCGGGGGCAGGGAGTCAGAGTGGGTCAGAGATGATCTGGGCCAGATGGAGCGGCTTCCTCCCGGGCAGGTGGTCTCTTGCAGAGACCAGTGTGGCAGGCACCTCATCTTCCCGACTGTCCCCGTCTGTCCTGTCTTTGCAGGATGGGAAGCAGGTGTTAAGTGTCCCACCTCAGAGTGTGTCTTCCTCCAGCGCAAGGATGAGCGCCTGCCCCAGCCACCGATGAAGCTGCAGCAGCGGCCCTTGTCCGGGCTGAGGGAAGCAGTGGTTGGGCTGGTTTTTCCCAAGGGTCGTGACCTGGAGCCGCCGTCTCTTGGCTCTGGAAGTGGAGAGCACTGTTTCCTATGCCGAGGCCAGTTGGATAGCGTGGTCTGGGGCAGCTGCGGGCCCCCACCCAGTTCTGCAATGCTGGATGAGAGGGTGGGCTGGGGGCTGCTCAGACCGAGAGTGTCAGCTGATTACTGTGCCTCAGCCACAGCCCACCCGGCTGGCGGGGAGAGGCGCACTGGAGGACCAGGTCAAAGAGCGAAACGCAGGCCCTAGCACAGAAGTCAGACCGTGGGGACTGACTGAGTCCCAGGAAATCAGAAGATGTCCTGGCCAGGGTCTTTTGTGTTTGTTTGGTTTTTTTTTTTGTTTTTGTTTTTTTTTTTAAGATTTACTTATTTGCACATACAGAACTGGGGTACAGGCCAGAGGTGCAGGGGCAGTGAGAGGATTCACCAGAGACAGAGCGGGGAGAGAACAGGCCTACTGATAAGTCCACTGCTGAGAGGAGCAGCGGGCGGGTCAGGAGAGGTCTGCCGCACCCTGTGGGTCACCTCTGGGGCAGGCAGGAATTGAACTCATGCGGAAGTGGCTTTAGCTTCTTAGTGCTGTGCCTTAACCCGCTACGCCACCAGGGAGGGCCTCTTTTGTGTTTTTTTAAAGATTTATTTATTCATGCATACAGAACTGGGGCACAGTCTAGGGTACAGGGGCCATGAGAGGCTTCACCAGAGACAGAGTGGGGAGCAGAACAGGCAGAGCAATGAAGCACACTGCTGAGGGATCAGGAGAGGTCTGCTGTGCCATTGTGTCACCTCCGGGGCGGCAATCAAACTCGCATTGAAGTGACTGCGGCCAGCTTGCGCCTTAATCCACTGCCACACCAGGGAGGGCCAGCCAGGGTTCTCTTTCTGAGGAAAGAAAGCGGCATGGGGAAGACCTGGACTAGGAGCGTGGGTGTCAGCGAGCCGTGCAGTCTGACGTGTGTCAGACCAGACTGTAGGAACTAGAGGGGAAGGAGCCCAGATGTGAATTTACTCAGTCTCCCGTACGTCTCTGGCTTTTCCTCTGCTTCCCTGCCCTTTGCCTGGATGGGCTGGAGGTAGCAGGGCTTTGGAGAGCCAGAACTAAGAAGGGGACCAGGTTCCCCTGTTCCCACTCTCTGAAGGCTTCCCCTCTGCTGCAGGCCAACACGACTCCTTTCTTGTTCAGGCAGGAGTTCTTTGTGGGGCAGGAGCTTGACACCCCACAGCTCTTCAGGGCTGAGTGGAGCCCTGAGGAGTGTTTCCTTTAGGGCCAGAGGGCTGGGAGGGTGAGGAAAGGCTTGTGGGACAGTTTGGCTAATTAAAAAGGGATTAAGGAATCCCAGGTGATGTGAAGGGTGGGGAGAGAGGAAGGGGGTGAGTCATCGCCCATTACTACCATGACAACTGATAAATAAACCCGCCCAGGTTGGGGGCTGCCGCCCCATCATGCCTGCAGGACCACGGTGGGACTGCAGAGCACATCAGCCATCTCCCCGCCCCCCGCCCCACCTTGCCCTTGCCCCAGCCTGCAAGGACCACCAGGGGCCGGGAGCGGGCCTGCCTTCCCGTCTGTCTTCTGCCTGCTCCCCTCCTGCTTGCTGGATGGCGGAGCGGGGCTCTCCGCTCGCGAGTACCTCCCTGACCCGCTCCTGGAGCCAAGTAAAGCAGAACCTTGAGGAATGATGTCACACCCCCATCCCAGGCAGATTCGGCTTCTGAGCTGGGTCCCCCTCCCCAGACATCTGCAGATGCACACACCCCGCACCCTCCCTGTCTGGCTTCCTCTCGCCTGGCCTTCACCTCCTGACTCTGTGCAGGGCCGCCGGGGTAGACCTCTCCCAGTGGGCAAAGGCAGGGAGGCGATGCCGTCCCCTTGAGACCCCTCGCCGGGGTGGCTGTCCCGGTGCCCATCTCTTGGGCGAGGGAGGAGAGGCCATTCGAGTCAGTAGGCGGTGGGCGCGGCAGACAGCTGGGGGCGCAGCTACCAGCCCTGCACCTCCAGCTCACCGGTGCCTGCCTGCAGCATGGGGCGCACGTGCCTCTCGGCCCCTTGCCCTGCTGCCGGGGCTTTTTGTCAGGCCCCGAACACCCTGGGGCCCAGGTTCCCGGACGCGTGTCACCCTGCCCCTCGCTGCTCACAGCTCTCCCCCACAGCTGCTGGAGTACCTGGGCAAGGGCAAGAGCATTGTGGACGTGGGGCTGGCCCAGGCCCGGCACCCTCTCAGCACCCGGAGCCACTACTTCGAGGTGGAGATCGTGGACCCTGGAGAGAAATGCTACATCGCCCTGGGACTGGCCCGGAAGGTGCTGGCTTTTCACCTGTGCGCTCCGTGCTGGCGCTCTGGGGCTGGGGCAGGCGCCCGGGGAGATCGGGCCAACTGTGGCGCCTTAGCAGTCTCAGGTTAATTATTGTCCCTGAGGCAGCCAGGGTTGGGTGAGACCCCACGTGACCCAGGACCTGTGTGTCACGTCTGTACCCCACATGCTGAGGCGGATGGGGCTGCGGCAGCCTGCAGCCCTGACCGAGAAGGCCAAGCACCTTAGCTTCCCTGGCAGCCTTTCCAGTGCCTGCCGCTTAGGGCTGCAGGGGGCGGAGGCAGCCTCTTCCAGAAAATCGAAGGCTCAGGTGCGCTCTCCCACTGTGTGTGGTACTACAGATTTTCTTTTGTCTCCTTGGTGCAGGATTATCCCAAGAACAGGCACCCGGGCTGGAGCAGAGGGTCCGTGGCTTATCATGCAGGTGAATCTGCGCTCCTGGGGCAGCTGGTGGCGGGGGATGTCGAGCGGGGGTGTCCATTTTCCTGGTCTCGCCGCTGCCTGGCCTCCCGTGCTTTCTCCCCATCTGTTTTCCCCCAGCCCCAGAAGCCAGGGGAGCAGAGCAGGGTTGGCGGCCAGGCCAGATGACATTCCAGGCCTCTGAGCTGCCTCCCTCTGCGCCCTTCCTGTGGATCCTGCATTTCTCTCTTTTTGGTCAGCTTGATCTCCTTTAGGACTTTCTTCAGAAAAGAACAAGCTGTGCGTTCCTGGCCCCACTGCTGCCCTCTCCACAACCCCTCTCCGTTGGGCCCTCTCCCCCTTAGGGGCTCTCACCAGCCCTTTGAGCTGGTGAGAGCCCCTAAGGCTCTTCTGACTCCTCCTCGGCTTCACCTTGGCCCTCCCCTTCCGAGGGGCCGGGGGCAGGGAGTCGGCCCCTCCAAGCGGGCCCTGTCTGGGCAGGAAAAGCTTAACAGCCGGTTTCTTAAGGGTATGTCCTCTTGCCTCCCGCAGATGACGGGAAGATCTTCCACGGCAGTGGCGTGGGGGACCCCTTCGGGCCACGCTGTTACAAAGGGGACATCATGGGCTGTGGAATTATGTTTCCCCGCGACTACATTCTGGACAGTGAGGGTGAGTGGGTGGGGTGGCTCATCGGGCTGGTGGGGCAGGTGGGGTTGGTTCTTCAGGAACTTAGGTCTCCTGGTGACTTCTAGGTGACAGTGATGACAGCTGTGACACAGTGATCCTGTCCCCGACTGCCCGAGCAGTCCGGAATGTCCGGAATGTCATGTACCTGCACCAGGAAGGGGAAGAGGAAGAGGAGGAAGAGGAAGAGGAAGAAGACGGGGAAGAGATAGAGCAGGAGCATGAGGGCAAGAAGGTGGTGGTGAGTAGGGGAGGTTTGGGGTTCACTGTGTCCTGCACCTGGCTACCGCTATCTTCGGGGGGAATGGAGCGATGGGGTGGAGGTAGCTGGGCGGCAGTTAGGAGCCTGGTTTCCAGCCTCAGGACGCCCTCTTGTGGTCGCTCCTAGCAGCACCCTAAGTCTCCCCTTTCAGCCGCTGGGAGTTGGGCGTGATTGGGGTTCAGGCCTGTGTTGCCCTAGCCTCCTCAGAAGAGGCCCAAGCCCCCGTCCCACCTTCTCCCACCTCCACCCCCAGGTTTTCTTCACTCGGAACGGCAAGATCATCGGGAAGAAGGATGCCGTAGTGCCTTCTGGCGGCTTCTTCCCCACCATTGGGATGCTGAGCTGTGGGGAGAAAGTCAAAGTGGATCTGCACCCCCTGAGTGGCTAGGAGCATCTCTCTCACCTGCCCCCTTCCCTCTGCTCCCCCTCTCAGACCAGGTGGGCAGTTCTGGACTTCCACGAGGACAGGCTTAGCAAGGGGCCCCAGGGTGCAGTTACAGCGCCCCGCCGAGTTGACCCTGCCAGGCTCCGCGGTGCCATCTTTGTGGTCCAGAGCTGCCCTGTCACCAGTCCCTGGGCTGAGTCCTCAGTGGGACAGGGCAGCCTCACAGCGCTGTTGCTGTGTTGTGGGTCCCACTGGCTTTGGCCGTGGGCTCCTGCACCCTCTTTTCCCACGGCCCTTACGTGGCAGGGGGGTGCCCTGTCTCAGCTGCTGTCTGGGCAAGAGGCTTTGCAGAGGCTGGAGCAGAGACAGCCCCTCCCGCCCACCACAGTATTTCCCTGCCCTGTTTTGTCCCTGGTCCTTACCACGTGAGCTGGTTGCTGCTGTCGTCACCCCCGGCTGGGCTAGGGGTTGCTGTCCTGTGAAGACCCTGTTGGTGTCCCCTCTTCCCCTGGAGAGTCCCCGAGAGCCTGCTTCTCCCCCACTCACACCGTAGTCCCGTGGGGAACGAGTCTCGGGCTCCTTCTAGCTGGGCATAGATGGGTGCCTGTTAGCTGTCTCATGGCACGACAGGGCTGTGGGGCACACTGGGGCTCCTGCTCCCACCTCCCCTGCCCGTTCGTGGCTCACCTGTGGCACGCTGTCCTACTCTGTGGCATGCAGCTGAGGCTGGGAGTCTCCTGCTGTGGCGAGGGCACACCTCCAGGACCCAGCTTGGCCCCTTAGCCCTACCCTGCCCCCCTTCCCATTTGCTGCCTGTGCCAGTGGCCTGTTTTGCTTCAGTGTTTGACTCTAGCACTTACATGTGTTTCTCCCTGAACACCCCTCTCTAACCCCTGGACCTGGGCCCCTCCCCACAGTGACTTCTGGGAGGAAGCGGGAGCAGCGAGCAGCTGGTGCTGGGTTTGCACAGTGGGCGGGGCTTCCTGGGAGTGGGCGGGGCCTTGGTGACCGTGGGCGGGGCTTTGGGGAACGTGGGCAAGTGGTTGTGCTGCTGGGCCTCCTGTTGGCCCTCCTTCCGTCCCTGCACTATGATGTATGAAATGTATGTACAGACCAAGAGATGTTTATACAGCCAATAAAGATGGAGTTTCCGTATTTATCAGTGCGGCCTGGACGGGGAGTCCTTTCTAGTGTAGCAGGCGGGAAGGAGGGCAGAAGGTGGGGGCTGCTTGCTCGCTGGGCCTGCGATGGCAAGGATGGGGTCATGTCTGTTTCATAGACCTGGCTAGGGGCCTGGGGTGCCCCCAAGAAGATGGGAGACAAGCCTAGGGGAGGCACTGACCTTGACTGAGGCATGGTTCCAACTTGACTAAAAGTTATAGAGATTCTTTATTATTAGACAAAAATAGACTCTTTCCCCCCTTTTTCATGTGATTCCACTCTGGTCTTTTCGCTGAGAGGGGAGGCGGAGGAAGAGCGCCTTGCCCCTCGCCCCACTCCCCCACCCCACCACGTTAGGCCCTGCAGCTCCCACCCAGGGCTGGCGTTCCCGTGCAGGTGGGGCTGTCCCGATGCTCCAGGGCTTGGCTGCGGACGGCGCCTCACCCTTCTTGTGCCCATCTCTGCCATCTGCTCACGTGCGAGGTCATCTCCCGGGCCCGTCCACTTAGCTCAGCAGGCTGGGGCAGGGAAGGGAGCGGCGTGCCAGGTTGATGCCCTCTCCCCATCCCTTAGGGAGCGGGCTGGCTGCAGGCCTCCTGGGTCCAGGCCAGGGGAGTGAGGCTGTGGGGTGCTGGGAGGGCGCAGTGTGGATGTGGCTCCAGCGTGTGGCCTGCCTTCATTTCCTTTGGCCCAGCAGAACTTTAGTGATGAAGGTGACAATGGCCCCTGCGGGCTGGTCTGGGTCAAGCTCTGCGAAGAGGTGGCACACATTCTCCCAGGGACTTCCCGGCTTCTTGGCCACGAAACCAAAAATCCTGGGGGCATAAAGCGGGGGGGAAGGGCTCAGCATCCCTTCCACAGGGACTGCATGCAACGCCAGGCCTGGGGC